GACTATAGTGGCTGCCATAGTACCGTTCGTTCAAACCGACGCTGTGTCGTCAATTCTTTATCAAATCGTGCAATCTAAATTGCTAATTGTAGACGACGTAAAGACGCTCCAGATCCAATTTGAATCAAGTCATTTGCAGCTGTGAGCAAAACGCTATCAACGTTTGAATCCGCTGTGCAGAAATCCGTCTGTGCTCTCTATCTTTCGTTTTAGGCACATTCAAGCCTATTGTGACTATAACAACTTGCTCTCGGACGGGCCGCCACCTGGCCACATTCACCCGTCGACCAGGGTCGAGTCTGTACACACTGACTACTGCGCCTTCTCCGGTCTCTGCGTCTGGTCAGGTAGCTGCGTCTAGTCAGGTGTTTGCTGCCGCGTCCAGGTCTAGTCCTTCCTCTGCCCCCTGCTCGTGTCGTCCTCTGTCGCACGAGACTCTCCTTTGGCACCACCGCCTTGGTCACCCCTCCCTGCCTCGTCTTCGAGGTATGGCCTCCCGTGCCCTTGTCTCTGGACTCCCCAGGTCCCTCCCTCCCCTTCCTCCGGGGCCTGCCCCCACCTGTGTTCCTTGTGTCGAGGGCCGGCAGCGCGCCGCTCCTCACTCCTCCTCGTTCCCTCCGACAGAGGCTCCTCTGCAGACTCTTCACATGGACGTGTGGGGCCCAGCCCGCGTCCGTGGACAGGGTCACGAGCGTTACTTCCTACTGGTCGTTGACGACTACTCGCGTTACACCACAGTCTTCCCCTTGCGCAGCAAGGGTGAGGTCCCTGAGGTGTTGATCGACTGGATCCGCGGTGCTCGTCGCCAGCTCAGTGAGAGTTTCGGTTCAGACCTTCCTGTTTTGCGTCTGCACTCAGACAGAGGTGGGGAGTTTTCCTCCGACCTCCTGAGGGCCTTCTGTCGTTCAGAGGGCATCCGCCAGACGTTCACGCTTCCGGCCTCCCCGCAACAAAATGGGATTGCTGAGCGCCGCATTGGCATGGTCATGGACGTCGCTCATACGTCCATGATCCATGCGGCTGCTCCCCATTTTCTGTGGCCGTTCGCGGTTCAGTACGCTGCGCATCAGATCAACCTTCAGCCTCGTGTCTCCTTGCCAGAGACCACACCTACTCTGCGGTGGACGGGGAAGGTTGGCGATGCGTCCGCGTTCTGTGTCTAGGGATCTCGAGCTTTTGTCCGCAATACTACAGCGGACAAGCTGTCCTCCCGTGCCGTTCCCTGTGTCTTCCTTGGCTTCCCTCCTGACGCACCCGGGTGGCAGTTCTACCACCCCACCTCGCGTCGTGTTCTGTCCTCTCAGGACGTCACGTTTGACGAGTTGGTGTCTTACTACCGTCTCTTTCCCTACCGCACTGCCTCTCCCCCCCCCCACCGCTCTTTCTAGCACCAGGTACTCCCCCGGTAGATCCCCTCCCCCCCCAGGGTCCTGCCCCCTCAGGTGTGTCCCACGTAGACCCTCCCGAGCCGGTCGAGGTAGCTGTCGACTCAGGTGCTACTAGGGGTGCTGAGCCTGCGGGTGCGGGAACTGGGGGTGCTGAGCCTGAGCGTGTGGAGCCTGGGGGTGCTGAGTCTGGGGGTGCTGAGTCTTGGGGTGCTGAGCCTGGGCGTGTGGAGCCTGAGGGTACTGTGTCTGGAGGTGCTGAGCCTGCGCGTGCTGAGTGTGGAGGTGCTCTAGGTGTCCCGTCGCGGCGGGAGCCTCTCTCTCCACAGCAGCTTCTTGAGTGGTACTCTCGGCGCTGTCGAGGTGCTGCTGGTGCTGCTGCTGCAGGAGCTGCTGGTGGAGCTGCTAGAGTTGCTGGAGGTGCTGCTGGTGCTGGAGGTGCTGCTGGAGCTGCTGGAGGTGCTACTGGTGCTGGAGCTGCTAAAGGTGCTGTTGGTGCTGGAGCTGCTGGAGGTGCTTCTGGTGCTGGAGCTGCTGGAGCTGCTGGAGGTTCTGCTAGAGCTGCTGGCGGTGCTGCTGGTACTGGAGGTGCTGCTGGTGCTGGAGCTGCTGGAGGTGCTGCTGGTGCTGGAGCTGCTGGAGCTGCTGGAGGTGCTGCTGGGACTGGAGACCCTGGGGCTGAGGGTACCGGTTCTATCTCTGCTGTTTCTGGAGGCGCTGCGCGGCCGCGGCCGTACTACGTTCCGCTCCTTCAGCAGGTTCTTGGCTCCCCGCCTTCTCCTGGTCCTCCTCCTCCTTTCCTGAGTCCACCGCCTGTCCAGTCCCAGTCGTAGTTGCAGCCGGCCTCTCCACTGCCTGGTCCTTCTCCTTACTCTGGACCGACCAGAGGTCTTACGGAGCGTCGTGAGCCTGAGTCTCGTCCTGTGTCGCCTGAGTCTCGTTCTGCGTCGCCTGTCCGTACTGTTCGCGCTGGTCGTGTTTCGCGTCCGCGTCCTCCTCCTGTCCCTGGCACTCACTCTATGACTCTGCGTCCTTCCACTGCTCCGCAGCGTGTCCCTTTGCCGTCTCCTCCTGCGTCCTCTCTTCCTGCCGGTCCGGACCCTGCGTCTGACTCCCTACGTGCTGCTAGTCTAGCTGTCACGCGTTTTCTGGCCACTACTGTCACTGACCCTTTGTTTGAGTCCACTGCTGCGTCTGCTCTTGTTACTGAGCTTGTTGACTTTGCTGCAGCCTGTCGCCTAGACTACGCCACTAGTCTTGTTGCTGAGTCTGCGTCTGTGTCTGTCTGTCCTCCGTTCGTCGGGGGTGAGTGTGCTCTTGGCACGGACGTTCTTGAGGACAGACAGGAGGAGTTTGAGTGCTTTGCTGCTTCTGTACCTCATCTCGTGTCCATGCTGCTTGCCCCTGAGGGAGACCTGGATGCACCAGACATCCCGACCTCGCGCTCTTACGCAAAGGCGATAGAGGGTCCCTACTCCTCTCAGTGGCAGGCAGCCATGGACGCCGAGATGGCTTCCTGGAAGTCCACAGGCACCTACGTCGACGAGGTTCCCCCGACTGGGGCGAACATCGTCAGTGGCATGTGGATCTTCAGGGTGAAGCGGCCGCCGGGTTCTCCGCCTGTCTTCAAGGCGCGTTACGTTGCACGTGGCTTCAGTCAGCGACAGGGAGTTGACTTCTTCTAGACCTTCTCCCCTACCCCGAAGATGACCACTCTTCGGGTACTGCTGCACGTAGCTGCTCACCGTGACTACGAGCTCCACTCGCTTGACTTCAGCACAGCCTTCCTACAGGGCAGCCTGCACGAGGAGATCTGGCTGCGCCGCCCACCTGGCTTCACTGGGTCGTTTCCAGCTGGTACCCAGTGGAGCCTCCGGCGGCCAGTCTACGGTCTCCGTTAGGCACCCCGTGAGTGGCACGACACACTCAGGACGACTCTTGCTGCTCTTGGTTTTGCTCCTTCCACTTCTGACCCTTCTCTGTTTTTACGCACTGACACTACTCTGCCGCCGTTCTACGTTCTCGTGTACGTAGACGACCTCGTCTTTGCTACTGCTGACACTGAGGCACTCGCCCACGTGAAGTCCGAGCTGCAGAAGAGACACACGTGCACAGACCTGGGTGAGCTGACAAGCTATCTTGGCTTGCGGATCACTTGGGACAGAGCACAGCGCACCATTACCTTGACTCAGTCACACATGGTGCAGCAGGTCCTTCAGCGCTTCAGCTTCACGTACTCCTCGCCACAGTCCACTCCTCTGCCTACCGGTCACTCGCTCTCAGCTCCACCTTTGGACGAGTCCGTAGAGCCGAGTGGCCCGTATTCAGAGCTTGTGGGCTGCCTCATGTACCTGATGACTTGCACACGACCTGACCTCGCATACCCTCTCAGCCTTCTGGCTCGCTACGTGGCTCCCGGCAGGCACCGAAAGGTGCACTGGGATGCTGCGAAGAGGGTGTTGCGATACTTGTGCAGTACATTGGGCATGGGGCTCGTGCTTGGAGGACGGGCTCGAGTTGTCCTCACTGGTCACGCTGACGCCTCCTGGGTTGACGACTTGGCTACGCAGCGGTCGTCACAGGGTTACACTTTCAGTCTTGGCTCCGGTTCTGTCTCTTGGCGGTCTACCCGCTCTTCTTCTGTTCTCAGCTCCAGCTGTGAGGCTGAGATCTACGCTGGAACCATGGCTGCACAGGAGCTACGCTGGCTCACCTACCTGCTGACCGACTTGGGAGAGGCGCCTCGTTCTCCTCCAGTTCTGTATGTCGACAACAAGGCCATGCTGGCCTTGTGTTAGGAGCACAGAGTGGAGCACAGAATGAAGCACATTGCTCTGCGCTACTTCCTTGCTCGAGAGTTGCAGCAGCGTGGCCAGCTTCGTCTTGCTTACGTGGCCTCTCAGGCCAACACTGCTGATGTTTTCACCAAGGCACTTCAGCCTTGTGATCATCAGCGTTTCTGTACTGTGTTAGGCCTTGTACCTACTGTGCCTCACTTGCTTTCTTCTTGACTCTGCCTGTACTGTACTCTTTATACATATACCTGCATGCTTACACTTGCTAGGTTGTGTTCACTGTATTGTTTGTTCTCCTTTATATAACTCTGCATGTGAACTGGCCTTGTGGCCATTTGCTTGTGCTCAGACTGCGTGGTGATTTTGTGATCCACCCTGAGCTTGCTTTGCCTTTCTTGACTGGTCTTGTGACCTCTTGTTCTCCCCCACTTTGCCTATGGGGGTGTGTCAAACTTATATTCTATAGTCTGTTTAGGCTGTAGTGGGGTAGTTCTTACAGGGTACAACACTTTTAGGTTTCCTATATGTACCCACCTGCTTTCTAGTTCAATCATTCCTCTCCTTATTCTCACAGGTTACTGGGTGGGATGGGATGGGAACAACCAGGTGCAATTCCACCAAGGAGCTGTACGTGCACTTCCGGGGGCTCTGAGTCTCTCGCTCGAGCAGCTGGACATTTCTTGAGGCGCGTGAACCATGTTGTTCCTAGCAAGGGGGTTGCTAGGCGGGAACCAAGTGCAGTTCCACCAGTACTTGTACGAGCTGTACGTGCACTTGCGGGGGCTTTGGTTCCAGCAGCTGGACGGCGCCAGGCACGTGCTCATGCTGCACGGCACTCTAGCGCAGCACATGCACTGGCTGTAGCACGAGTCGTAGTTCAACTGCATTTTAGTCGTCGTGCCGCCCAGCGTGTCCCGCGTCGCGCGACACACATTCTCACAGACAGTCTGCTCCACCACACAGCATTTCCCCGGCGTGTCGCCCTGCAGAACGGTGCAGTCGCAGTCCAGTGGCTTCCAGTTGGGGTAGGGGCACGTGCTCCACGTGCATCCGTACCCCCCGGCGGGGGCCAGGCCGGTGCGCCCGGTGCAGGCGGCGTTGCAGCCGGTGCAGACGCCGTCTTGAATCACCGGCAACGCGTAGTTGCAGAGCGCGTCGCAGTACGACGGGTACATGATGTAGTCCGCGCCGCACACCGGGAGGGACTGCGCACAGCCGCAATCGAGGATCCCCACGCGCACATCGCACGGGATGATGAGCTGGGTGTTGGCTACTAGAGGGGAGGTTTCCACGATGTTGTTGGCGGCGGCGATGGCGGCGGGGGAGACGTAGGAGGTGGTGCAGCGCATGATGAACCTGGAGGAGATGAGGGCGAGGGAGTCGTTGGGATGCACGGTGTAGAGCGAGAAGGAGGTGCTGGATGCGGTGAGGAGGGATGCGAGGAGTGGGGAGTTGATGCAGACCTTCTGGCCCACTTGGAGGTAGGGGGCTTGGCACTGCAAGGGGGATGGGGTGTAGGGGACAGGGGAGCATGAATGATGAGCAGATGAACTGTGTGGGAGGAACGACAGATCATGGAGCAACGAAGCAGCGTTTGCTGAAGAAGGGAGGAAGGGAAGTGATGCGAGAGAGTGGCGAACCAGAGCATGGATGAAGGCGCAACGGCTTGTGTTGCCTTGTGTTGCCTTGTGTTGCCTGAATCCAAGAACCTTAGAGGTGAAAGTGGAGGCTAGAATTGGTGGCTCACCCGGATGCCAGGGTTGATTGCAAGGAAGGTGGACTCAGTGAGGTTGGCGGCGTTCCAGATGTTGGGGCAGTTGTCTCCCTACAGCACCACATACCATGATGTGCAGTTCACTGTCATCTGTCATGGGGAAGGAAAGAGAGAGAGCAGCAAGAGAGGGCGAGGTAGTGAGACAGCAACCCTGTAGCACCATGCGTGCCATTTCGTGCAGCTCACCAAGGCATGCAGGGGAAGGCATGGCGCAAGAGGCAAGCGGAAAATTCCAACGGAGGAAAGTGCCCAAACAAAACTCGAGCCAGAGGAGAGAACCTGCAGCGCGGATTCCTGAGCTGCGTACTGCCTGGCAGTCCTGGGCTAAGTGACGAAATATACTTTTGCCTTTAAGCGTATAGCGTTTATCCGCTTGCGTATACACGCAAAACGCTATACGCTAACGAATACGCAATACGCTCGGGGGTTTTTTTGGGGCAGCCTGAAATTGATTTTTTTTTAGTACATCTGAAAAGTTTCGTCTTCTCACGCGAAGAAGATGCCGTGCTCGAAATGCACGTTCGAGATCTACCCTGGCCTGGACGTGGCTTCAATGTGTGGAGGTGAGTTGGTTTCCATGCTTTCAAATCGCGGCGCCGCGATTGTGAGTTGGGTTACGTGGCTCCAATGTTTGGAGTTGCGATGTCCTTAACATTTCACATTGGAGTTCCACCAATTTGTACCGCTCTCGATCTAAAACTTCTCTCCACCAATCCATCCCACGCTACTTAACAAGCAGGTTTTGTTCTATCTCGTCAATTCATCCTCCTGTTTACTTCACAGAGCTTTTTAGAATGGCTTATGCAGTTGTTAACCCGACCCAGTCCACTCCCCCTCCTGATACCGGCACGGCCAGTCCTGATCGTGCGGCGCGATTTTACCTTCCGGATGTCGACCATGAGGTGTTCAAGCATTTCCGCCTCATAAAGGTGGACGAGGGGAAATTGCAGCAGTACGAGTGCAGGTACTGCTGCAATGTTTTTTCTGGTGCCGCCATCCGCTGCGCGCAGCACTTGGCGAGTTGGAGGAAGATGAAGCGCTGCGAAGTGGCGCTATGTAAGGAAGCCCCCACTTCAGCGCGGGCTGCCATGCGGAAGAAGTACGAGGCTAAGGCTGCAGCGGCGGCTCAGCGCCGTCAGGCGACATCGGATGCCATCGCGTCGGTCACCAGCAGCGGCAAGAAGAGCCGCATTACTGACTACTTGGAGACGGATGCGGCAGCTGGGAAGCGCGATGCACATGATGCGTTGGCGCTCATGTTCGCGGGGTGTCGCATCCCGGAGCGCGTCGTGGAGCACCCTCTCTTCATCAACGCCGTTTGTGCCATTAGGGACACCGGCACAGGATACGTCCCACCAAAGAGGGGGTTCATCGGCGGGGCGGGCTTGCAAATGTGCTGCGACAACATCGACAGGGGGCTTTCTGGAGTGAAGGCGAGCTGGAAGCGGACCGGCGCGACAGTTGCTTCTTAAATGATGATCGATAAGAACGGTCGCCCCCAGGCGAACGTGTTTCTCGTCAACGACAGTGGCGCGGCGTTCAAGAGGTAAGCACATGAGGCAGAGTAGGCACAGGAACCAGAGCAGTGCAGAAACGCTGATGATCACCAGACCCTAGTGCCTTGGTGAAGATATCAGCACTGTTGGCCTGTGAGGCCACGTAAGCAAGGCGAAGCTGACCACGCTGCTGCAGCTCTCGAGCGAGGAAGTAACGCAGAGCGATGTGCTTCATTTTGTGCTCTAGTCTCTGCTCCCGACACAAGGCAATCATGGCCTTTTTTTCAACGTACAGGATTGGAGGAGAACGGGGCCGCTCACCCAAGTCGGTCAGTAGGTAGGCCAGCCAGCGTAGCTCTTGAGCAGCCATGGCCCCCACGTAGATCTCAACCTCAAAATTGGAACTGAGAACAGAAGACAAGCAGGTGGACCTCCACGAGACAGAACCAGAGCCAGGACTGAAAGTGTAACCCTGTGACTACCGCTGAGTCTCCTGGTCGTCTGCCCAGGAAGCGTCTGAGTGCCAGTGAGCACAAGTGCACCCCGTCCTGCAAGCACAAGCCCCATGCCTGATGTACTGCAAAAGTAATGTAATATCCTCTGCGCAGCTGTCCAGTGCTCCTTCCTGTGTCTCCCGGGTGCAACCAAGCGAGCAAGGATGCTGAGAGGGTACGCAAGGTCAGGTCGTGTGCACATCATCAGGTACATGAGCCGGCCCACAAGCTCTGGATACGGACCACTCGGCTCTACGGACTCGTCCGAAGGTGGGGCTGAGAGCGAGTGGCTCTTAGGTAGAGGAGTGGGCAATGGCGAGGAGAACCAAAAGCCGAAGCGCTGAAGGACCTGCTGCACCATGTGTGACCGAGTCAGTGTGATGGTGCACCTTGCTCTGTCCCGGGTGATCTGCAAGCCAAGATAGCTGCTCAGCTCACCCAAGTCAGTGCAAGAGTGTCTCTTCTGCAGCTCTGCCTTCACAAGGGCTAGTGCCTTAGTGTTAGCAATAGCAAAGACCAAGTCGTCGACGTACACGAGGATGTAGAACGGCGGCAGAGAAGTGTCGGTGCGTAGAAACAACGACGGGTCAGCAGTCGAAGGAGCAAACCCAAGAGCCGCAAGCGACATCCTCGGTATGCTGTGCCACTCGCGAGGCGCCTGGCGGAGACCATAGACTGTTCGCCGGAGGCTCCACTGGGTACCCTCAGGAAACGACCCAGTGTAGCCAGGTGGGCGGCGCAACCAGATCTCTTCGTGAAGGCTGCCCTGCAGGAAGGTTGTGGAGAAGTCAAGCGAGTGGAGCTCGTAGTCACGCTATGCTGCAACGTGCAGTAATACCCGAAGAGTGGTCATCTTCGGGGTGGGTGAGAAGGCCAGGAAGAAGTCGACCTCCTCACGCTGACTGAAGCCTCGTGCAATGTAGCGCGCCTTGAAGACACGCGGAGAACCCGGCGGCCGCTTCGCCATGAAAATCCACATGCCATCGACTATGTGCGCTCCAGGTGGGGGAACTGCGTCGACGTAGGTGCCTGTGGACTTCCAGGAAGCCATCTCTGCGTCCATGGCTATCTGCCACTGAGAGGAGTACGGGCCCGTGATCGCCTCTGCGTAAGAGCACGGGGTCGGGATTTCTGGTGCATCTGGGTCTCCCTCAGGACAAAGTAGCATGGAAGCAAGATGAGGTGCAGCAGCCGCTAGGTACTCGAGCTCAAACTGCCTATCCTCAAGGACGTCATAGCCAAGGGCAAGCTCACCCCTGACGGACGGAGGACAGTCAGATTCAAAGAGAAGACTCGCAACGTAGTCAAGGTGGCACAGAGCAGCAAAGTCAACGAGCTCAGCGACTAAGGTAGACGCAGCAGCGGACTCAAAAGTAGGGTAAGTGACAAGTGTGGCTAGAACAAGCGTGACAGTAGGACTAGCAGCACGAGTAAGGTCAGACTCAAGGTCAGGAATGTCAGGCAGAGAGGACGTTGGCCGTGACGGCAGGACCGGACGCTGTGCAACAGAGGAAGGACGAAGTGCCATGGTGTGCGTGCTAGGGACAGGCGGTGGATGAACACGGCGAGCACGACAAACAGCGCGAATATGCGAGGCAGGACGAGACGCAGGCTCACGATGCTGTGTCAGGGAGTTTGTCTGCTCAGTGTAAGGTGAAGGAGCAAGCAGAGGAGAGTTAGGCAGTAACTGTGGCTGAGACGGGTCAGGTGGTGGACACAGTAGGGGAGGAGTAAGGCCAGTAGAAGACAAGAGACTGAGAACCTGGTGAAGCGCCGAGCCAGCTAGTGCCAGCGACGACTCCAGCGGAGGCCAGAACAACAGTCTTTGCTGCACAGTCTGCGCAGCACCCCCAGCACTAGAAACTCCAGTGTCCCCGGCCCCAGCACCTCCAGCAGCAGTGCCTCCAGCTCTAGCACCTCCAGCACCAGCAGTCCCTGTCCCAGTACCAGTAGCACTGGAACCCCCAGCACCTCCAGCTCCTGTGCCCCCAGCTCCAGTACCTCCAGCACCAGTACCTCAAGTGCCTCTAGCTCCAGAGTCAGCAACCGCAGGCTTAGGACCTCCAGTGGCAGCACCCCCACGCTCAGCATCCCTAGAATCAGCACCTGCAGAGGCAGTACGGCGACTGACCACCCACACACGCAGCTGCTGCAGCGAGAGAGTCTCCTGCGGACTCGGCAGGTGTCCACCTCCAGATGCAGCACCCCCAGGCTCAGCACCCTCAAGCTCAGCACCCCGAGAACCAGCACCTCCAGCGTGAGCACCCTCAAAGCCCACACCTCGGGCGCCACCACCTCCAGAAGTACTGGAGTCCACAGCGACAGGCAGCAGAGGCGGCGAAGACGACCGAGGCGGAAAGCCAGGAGGGGTCTCCAAGCGCGGGGAGCGGCTAGTGGTCACAGTGTCGTTAGCAAAAGGGTCACCCCCCTCAGCCGGGCCAGAGGAGACCTCCAAAGGCTCAACCAAACGGGGTGGTGTGACCTGAGACACACCTGACGGAGCAAGACGCGAGGGGGGGTGGGGGTCTACTGGGGGGTAACCTGGAACCAAGAAGAGGGGCGGCGGGGGGACAGGAGAAGACACGTGGGGGAGGAGACAGTAGTAGCAAACCGACTCGTCAAAGGTGACGACCTGAGAGGACAGGACACGACGCGTGGTGAGAGAGTACGACGGCTTTGCTGGACTTTACTTGCTTGATTCCGCTTTATTATGCATTATCTAGCTTAGATTTATTTTATCTTGCATGCATTCGCTTGATTTCCTAGGTTCGTTGCTTTACTATATTTATTATTGTTATAGGCACCGAACTAGGTTGAGTGCACCGAATTCTAGGCTTTTTGGTTGCCACCAAATTGCCTTCTACCAAATTGGAGAAGGACCCGTTCCAGACGCTTCGCGACCCGCAGAACCTTTTATTAATGTTATGTGATGCTATCATTTGCATTCATGTCTGTCTGCCTCCCATCATATGCTCGTGTGTTGCATGCGTGGTGTGAGCGTATGCAAGAATTTGTGTTTGGTGTTGTTTGGATTTTCTGAGTGTGTGTGAGTGTTATTTTCCTTGATCAGATATCTGAAGTGACTCCTCTGCTCGAGAGCTTTCCGACGAACCGAGAATCGCCGCGATCGGAGCAAGAACGAGAAAGATATGATCGTTCGAAGTTTTGGTTGAGATGCGACGACTATGGGAATTTGCGGGTTGACTCAATATGGGGTACAGACTTTTGGGGGTTGGGAAATTCGTCACCATCACTGTAGATGATGTCAAGTGGTTGGGAGAAGCCAAACCAGGCTGGCAAGTGTGGCCAAGTTGGGTGAGGTGGATGGCATGGGTTGGGAAAGTGACAAATGTCAAATTGGGGTGCCAAAAAAGAGGGGAATTGTGTGGTATGGGGTTTCCTTGGTTGGGGACTCCCTTGGGACCTTCCCTCTCGTCCTCCTCATCCCCTCCTACCTGGTTCAATTGCTACTCCAACTTTCTTGTGTGAAATTGTGAGACAACTTTGTGATTAAGTTTTTATGGCAGCATACCCCCTAGTGCGCCGAAATTCATAACTCAAGCTATAATCTATATTTTGATACTATTCAAGTTGGGAAAGATAGCCACGGTCAAGGGCTACAACATACTCGAGTTTGAGAGAATTCTGACAGAGCGTGTTTTGTCGAAGATGTTTCTTGTGACGAGAACGTTTCTGTCCAAAATTATAGTTGACGATTTTGAGATATTTTGGCCCTTAATCTTTATAGACTCCGTCCTTAGTCTCTAAAAAGTGGTATCAGAGCTGATCAAGAACTTTGTGGAGAGTCTACTGGAGTGTGAAGACCCTCATAGACCCACCATGGCCTGTGGGTGTGCCTAAGTGGAGTTCTGGAGGTTGCATGTGACTTCCGCTAAGGGGAAACTCTGCCGAAATTTCGTTGGCGCCGACACTTGTGGAAATTGAGTGGGAATTCGGTGTGGAGAGCAAAGGGGGAGCTGGAACCTGTGTTTGGGAGCAGAGGAAATGAGTCAAGTGAGTGGAGATGCAACTGAGAAGAGAAATGAGCCGCCACCATCCAAGATCGAGGCATTGGATGGATCAAACTATGAGGAATGGAGCGGGCGGATGCGGAGTACATTCAAGCGCTACAAGCTGCTGAAACTTGCAATGGGTGAAGAGAAGATGCCGGAGGAAGGAGATGCCCGCGATCGGTGGATTAAGAAGAGTGCGGTGCTGTACGACCTAATCCTCCAATCGGTCAACAACGATATGTTCCAACACGTCAAGGATTTGGTGGAGTTGGATGATTCCGGGCCATAGGCGTGGAAGCTATTGCGCGACGTGATTCAGCCCAACACGCTGCCGATGGTGATTGTGTTGGAGAAGAAGCTGGCTGCCCTCTCCATGCGACCGGGCAATGATGTGAAGCCGGTCCTTGACAAGATCAAGGACACCTATGCGAGGATGGCAGCGGCGGGCAGCAATGTGTCGCAGATGCAG